TCTCTCTTGCATTTACTTATACGGTTTCTTTAATGTTGATTGCAAGCTGCCCAGACTGAGATGGATGGCTACAGAAATTGAACAAACAAAAAAAGTGTTCAGTTAAAAGAAATGCACACACAAACCTAAAAATCAAGTGAAATGCCCTTACTACAAACAAATACTTCTACCGCAAGATCTACTACTCACTGGCATAACAGTGTCAATTGTTAGATAAGATTGAACGTTTAATGAAAAAAACATTTTCTAAGTGTCAGAAAAATAGCATTTATAAAGAGTGTTTTATGTCTGTGCGTTTGCATGTGTGTGGAATCTTTGTAATACAATGTAGCTCCTTCTAAGACTCTGCATGACCTCTTATTTTTAATCTGAAATTAAAGCAGGGGTGAAATGCTCCCGGTTCGGACCGGATCGCCCGATCCGGTAGCGATGGCGGCAGGTGGTTCGGAGAACCGGTAGCAAAAATCCCTGTCCCCCCCCATGCCCAGCTGAGCCGCGCAATCATCAGAGGCTGTTTTTTTTACTTTTAAAAGCATTTTTTCCTGCAACCTCTTCGGCCGAAAAAATGCTTTTAAAAATATTTTTTAAAAAAGCCTCTGATGATCGCGGGGCTCAGTGGGATCATCAGAGGCTTTTAAAAGCATTTTTTTCTGCAACCTCTTCAGCCGAAGAGGTTGTAGGAAAAAAAAATGCCTTTAAAAGCTGAGGTGCCTGATCGTCAGAGACTTCTAAAAGCATTTTTTTCTGCAACCTCTTAAGGTTGTAGAAAAAATGCTTCTAAAAGTAAAAAAAAAAAAAAAAGTTGGCCATGCCCCCCCCCCCCCATTATCCCCCCCCCCCCCACCAAGCTACGCCCACAGAACCGGTAGTAACAAATTTTACATTTCACCACTGAATTAAAGCAATTGGCTTGTTATATTGAACCATCAGCAGACAACCTAATTCTAATGAGATATTTGTAAATGTGGAATTTCAACTATTGCTTAAATTTCTTTAAATACATGTGAATAATTATATCAAAAAGACTTTTTTTTCTTTATGAGGATAATATCTTTGATTTTTATTCATCTAAATTGCAATAATCATATGACTGATGTTTTAACATTTCCATCTTTATTGTTTTATTGTTGGGCACATATATTTGGTTTGAAATTCTTTATAGAATACAAATAGATTAAGCAAAATAACTATTATGAGCATAGTTATAAACTTACTATTGGTCACTTTGATATTATGGTAGAGGCTTGACCTTGTTTTTTTAACCATACCTTCATTGTAATTAATATATCAAAAGTCACACTGACATTTGGAGATGTTAAGACAAAAGAATGATATTGACCCTTATTCACCTGAACAACTGGATAACTTCAGTTTGAAATTAACAGGTTATTTTTTTTAGGGGTGGTGGTGGAATTGTCTTGGACTGTAGTATATAAATGTTTTAAATCAGATTATAGCCAATGTAGTTTTTAAACTGAGTTATTGCAATTTAGACTATATATATAGTATAAAACAGCAAAAAAGCAAAATAAATAATTAAATCCCTACTTTTAGTTAAAAATAATATTTCACATTTTGGTCCAGATGCTTCAGCAGTATCTAGAACTCCTAAATAACTATCAGTATTGGAATGTGTTTTGGATAATGGTAAGGCTGAAGCATCTTTTAAAAATACACTAATTCATCTTAGTCACATTATAGATAAGTGGCTAAGGATCTTAAATACTGTTCAGTATACTTCTTCAGTCAATAATCTGTTTGTTTTCTCTCCATTTTCTTTATTCTCTTAATTTTTTATAATAAGGTAGGATATAAGTTATTAAAGGCATCTTAAAAACATTATAGCTTTTCAATGAAGATAGCTGTAAAAACTTCACAAATTAAATGAAAAACAGCAAGGGATGCTAAAATGATTTCTCTTCTGAATTCAAAATATCAACACCATGCCTCTTTCCTAGTATTGAATTTTCAAATTTCTAACACTTTCACTTTACAATCAATATGCGACATCTAGAACCCTGGTGGCACGGTGGTTAAGTGCAGTACTGCAGGCAAATTCTTCCCACAGCCTGGAGTTTGATCCTGATGGAGCTCAAGGTTGATTCAGCATTGCATCCTTCTGAGGTTGATAAAATGAGGATTCAGATTGTCGGGGGCAATATGCAAATAATGCTTTTATACTGTAAACTGCCCAGAGAAGGCTGTAAAGTGCTATGGGGCAGTATGTAAGCCTAAATGCTATTGCTATCTAAATTCACCTAAAATTGATAATGCTCAATTAAATTGTATAAAAGCAGAAAAGAAAAGTTCAAGTGGCATGAAAGAAACGAAGCCTCAGAAATAAAATATGCATTTTTAAATCAGTTTCTTTGAATGCCTAAGAAATTAAAACAAAATGAAGAACCCAGCTGTCTCAGATTCATAACAGCTATTGATCTAGTTACTAGTTTGGGCAAATTAATTTGTGTTTCAGTTATAATTAAAATAATAAGGACTGAAGTAGCATAATGTTTGTCAGATACTTCTGATTAGAAAATCCTGGATTTAGTATTCCCATAATAGAAAATGGATGCAGATGCAATAAACTATATTAAAGCAGACCTTTCTATCCCTTGTAAAAGTATAATTAGCCCTGCCTTAAGTATAAAGGACCATGTCCTTATTACAGTATAAATAAAAAATAAATTTGTTATGGAATTTGTGTAGGGATGTTGTGTATTATATTACTGTTCCAATGTTAGATTTTATTAAGCAGTTAAAACATGTTTATATTAATAAATTTTCAGCAAAATTACTGAGTCTTAGGAACAGTTTTAAGATTGCAAAATCAAGTGGCATTCTTAGAAAAGGAAATGGCATGATTATCAGACAATTCCCTGGACAAGAGCTTGCAGGTTTTTTTCCAAGATTTTGAAAGCAGTTTGCCATTGTCTTCTTCTTCCTAGCCTAAGAGAGTACTGGTCAAGGTGCGACTAGAATTCACAGTCTCCCAGTTTCTAGGCTAGTGCCTTAACTATTAAACCATATTCTGACACCGCCCTGAGTCCTTCGGGAGAGGGGCGGTATAGAAATAAAATTATCTATCTATCTATCTATCTATCTATCTATCTATCTATCTATCTATGGTTCCCAGATGAACGATGGACCTGGTCGGGGAGAGGTGGCTCTTTTTGTGGTTTATAGAGAAGCCATGGAGTTCCAGGGCCCGACAGACCCGCTGCATGTCCTGCTGAGCTTGAAGGGGGGAATTGGACAAAATTAAAATATCGTCGAGATAGCACAATATGCGGATTGGAATTAACCGAATGGTGGCAGCAACCGCTGCTAACAGTTTGGTGAACACCCTCGGAGCAGACGAAAGCCCGAAGGGCATCGCCCGGTACTGATAATGTTGGCTGTTGTACACAAAGCGGAGGTACTTGCGATGGTGAGGGTGGATTGGTACATGCAGGTAAGCTTCCTGCAAATCGATGGAAGTCATAACATCCCCCTTCCGAATGCAACCCAGAATGGTTCGGAGGGACTGCATCTTGAATCTCTTGTACCTGATGAACTTGTTGAGGTATTTGAGATTCAAGATGGCCCTCCACCCCCCCGAGGCCTTGGGCACCAAAAACAGGAGAGAATAGACTCCCTTCCCCCGTTGCGATAGAGGAACTTCCTCTATTGCTCCAATCCGCAGAAGGTGCTGGATTTCTGAGTTGAAATTGTTCAGTTTGTCTCGACGTCGGGGTACTGGGGAATGAACAAAAACACGTTTGGGAAGGGTCCAAAATTCCAGAGTCAATCCTACCCCCACAGTACGATGAACCCAAGGATCGGAAGTGGAGGTCTCCCATTGGGGTAGAAAGTGAAGAAGCCGCCCCCCGATTGGGAAAAGTTCGAGGGAGTCATTTTCCCCTTCTGGAAGAACGGGATCCGGCTCCGGCTCCCTTAAAAGGTCATCTGGAAGAGGATTGGAACCTCCCTCTGTCGCTATTGCCCTGCCTTCCTGCAAAGCGGTCTTGTGAATATCCTTGTGAATATCCTTGTGAATACTGTCGACCATAATAGGACCCCCTAGGCCCTGACTCTGCCCGAAAGGGCTGCCTTTGACTATAAGGTGTGAACCTGCGCTCTTGCCTACTATAAGAAACAGGCAAGACTTTGCGTTTATCTTTCCCTCTATTAAAATTGGATCCAATGCTGCCCCAAATAAAGAGGACCCGTGGTAAGGGGCAGATGCTAATCTCCACTTTGATTTGGAGTCAGCCTTCCAGGGTTTAAGCCACAGGAGTCTACGTGATGAGATGGAAGAAGCCATGGCCCTGGCTGCAAACCGGGCCGCATCCAAGGATGCGTCCGCCGAATATTCCGTAGCGGCTACCAATTTGTTGAAATCCTGGCAATTCTGGTGTCCCCTGGTGGCAACCTCTCCTTCAACTGCCGAAGCCATATTAAGGTGGCTCTGTTAAAGAAGGAGGCGGATGTTGCAGCTTTCACTGCCCAGGCCGCGGCTTGGTGCGTTTTACGGAATGAGACCTCCGTCTTACGTTCATCAGATTTCAGCACCTCCACAGTGTCAGATGATAAGACAGCTGAAGAGGATAGACTGACCACAGGGGAATCTACTGATGGAAGGTTGAGAAGGGCCTCCAGGGCCGGGTCAGCACAATAAAGCTTTTTATCGTGCCCGCTGGGAGCCGAAAGAACCCCGGGCGATTCCCACTGCCTTTTAATGACCTCTTTAAATAAATCAGGGCACGGGATATAGTCATGATCAGGAACAGGAACAGCGAAAAGCTCGTCCTGCGGTTGTGTATCAGAAGAACCCTGAAGGTTAGGATTGACGATGGTACCCATGTTTGTAACTGCTTTAGCCTTTCTGAGTAAAGTCTTAAAGACCGCTGGCCTGAACAAGGTGGCAAAGGCCGGTCTCTCAGGGGTCACTTCCTCATCATCTGAGAACTCTGGCTCAACCTGTTCTCCCTCAGTTGAGTATGAAACCTCACTTGGAGCCTCTAAGGAAGGTTGGATCGCCTGGGCCGGCTGGGGAGGGGTGGAGGGGGAGGAGGAGGAGGAGGATGCGTAGACGGATGATGTCCACAAGCCGGCCTGGAAGGAGCTGGCATCTGACAAGTATGATACCCAAACTGGGGCTGTCCCCCTTGTTGAAGGCCTGAGGTGATTGCCTTAGCCAGTGCATCTGTGAATAAGGCTTGAAAGTCTAAATGTGGTGGCCAACCTAAAGCCTCCTGAGGCCTGAGACCAGCTGCCGTGGGTGTAAATGACGCTGAAGGTCCCGGCCTATCAGACAACATGGGTGCCTGAGGTACATCAGAAGGTATATCTTGTGATGCCAGCTGGGTTGTTGATGCCAATGGATCCGGTTGAGGAGGGGAAGGTTCCAGAACTACCTCCCCCATGAGTTGTGCCTGTTTTTGGGCCCTGGAAAATTGTTTCTCTAGAGCGTTGTGTCTCCTCTGTTCCTCCCTGGCTGTAACAGATAATGGCTGACTTGCTGAAGAGGTTGAAGCTTGGGCAGCAGGCCTCTTTTTTGAGGCCTTTTTAGGCCTAGGAGGAACTGGGGCCTGTTCAGGGTCAGATGAAAATTCCTGGTCGGCCATGACGGTTAAAGACTACCAGGAGTCTCCAAGGACAATCCTGAGGAGAAAGGGAAAAATTATGGCCTCAGTACAGGCACTAAAATTCTCCCTCAAAATGGCCGCCGCAACAAAAAGGGCGCCAAATTAATGGCAGAAGCTCCCCTGACAGGGCACATACTCACGCCAACGCAGCCTTCAATTTGAGGAATTCCAGAAGCGCCAGGAAACAAACGCCCCTGAAAGCGCAGCCTCGCCAAAGAGTCAAAGCAGATTCTTCCCAGCAACAAAATTAACTTTAAGGATCAGCAGCTGTAAGGATCCGATCTCGTTCCAACATTCAGCCAAAATCTTTCAAATGTAAGGCGCGAGAGGCTTCTGCCCCTTGAGCACCGCGAGGCAATTGATCAGGCAGAGTGTGTACTCGGGGCCCCCGAGCAGGTACTCTGCAACCGCCACCTAATTTGGGAGCAGAATGGCGGCGACGGGACGACCAGCTGACCAGCGGCCCCAAACGCGCGCCGGCGGCAAGCAAAAAACAGCGCGAGGGCTGTCCAGAGCTCCCAATGAGGTAGGCTCTGATCGCTGCTGAAAGAAGCCGGGGCGTCCAAGTTAATTAGAAACGGCGCCCACGGCAGCAGCCAGGGGCTTGCTGCCACCGCAGCAGCCTCTCTGGAGAAAAAACGCTCCCACGCTATCACTAATCAGTAAAATTATCAACTATATACACTATACACACTATTTACAGCACATAAAAGAAATTTCTAGTAAAAGGCAAAAAAAGGTCTCACTGAGGTGAGAGAAACTATACTCACGTCCCTACACTAAGACTGAGAGAAATAAACTGCCGTGCTGAGGAGCCAGGGAGGAGTGGCCAGCAGAAGATTTAAAGGCACAGCACACTCTCAGTCCCTAGCAAGATGTGAGGGAGATCCCAATGAGGAATTGCGCAGCATCGCCATGGAAAAAAGCCTCTGATGATCGCGGGGCTCAGTGGGATCATCAGAGGCTTTTAAAAAGCATTTTTTTTCTGCAACCTCTTCAGCCGAAGAGGTTGTAGGAAAAAAAAATGCCTTTAAAAGCTGAGGTGCCTGATCGTCAGAGACTTCTAAAAGCATTTTTTTCTGCAACCTCTTAAGGTTGTAGAAAAAATGCTTCTAAAAGTAAAAAAAAAAAAAAAAGTTGGCCATGCCCACCCAGTCACATTATCCCCCCCCCCCCACCAAGCTACGCCCACAGAACCGGTAGTAACAAATTTTACATTTCACCACTGAATTAAAGCAATTGGCTTGTTATATTGAACCATCAGCAGACAACCTAATTCTAATGAGATATTTGTAAATGTGGAATTTCAACTATTGCTTAAATTTCTTTAAATACATGTGAATAATTATATCAAAAAGACTTTTTTTTCTTTATGAGGATAATATCTTTGATTTTTATTCATCTAAATTGCAATAATCATATGACTGATGTTTTAACATTTCCATCTTTATTGTTTTATTGTTGGGCACATATATTTGGTTTGAAATTCTTTATAGAATACAAATAGATTAAGCAAAATAACTATTATGAGCATAGTTATAAACTTACTATTGGTCACTTTGATATTATGGTAGAGGCTTGACCTTGTTTTTTTAACCATACCTTCATTGTAATTAATATATCAAAAGTCACACTGACATTTGGAGATGTTAAGACAAAAGAATGATATTGACCCTTATTCACCTGAACAACTGGATAACTTCAGTTTGAAATTAACAGGTTATTTTTTTTAGGGGTGGTGGTGGAATTGTCTTGGACTGTAGTATATAAATGTTTTAAATCAGATTATAGCCAATGTAGTTTTTAAACTGAGTTATTGCAATTTAGACTATATATATAGTATAAAACAGCAAAAAAGCAAAATAAATAATTAAATCCCTACTTTTAGTTAAAAATAATATTTCACATTTTGGTCCAGATGCTTCAGCAGTATCTAGAACTCCTAAATAACTATCAGTATTGGAATGTGTTTTGGATAATGGTAAGGCTGAAGCATCTTTTAAAAATACACTAATTCATCTTAGTCACATTATAGATAAGTGGCTAAGGATCTTAAATACTGTTCAGTATACTTCTTCAGTCAATAATCTGTTTGTTTTCTCTCCATTTTCTTTATTCTCTTAATTTTTTATAATAAGGTAGGATATAAGTTATTAAAGGCATCTTAAAAACATTATAGCTTTTCAATGAAGATAGCTGTAAAAACTTCACAAATTAAATGAAAAACAGCAAGGGATGCTAAAATGATTTCTCTTCTGAATTCAAAATATCAACACCATGCCTCTTTCCTAGTATTGAATTTTCAAATTTCTAACACTTTCACTTTACAATCAATATGCGACATCTAGAACCCTGGTGGCACGGTGGTTAAGTGCAGTACTGCAGGCAAATTCTTCCCACAGCCTGGAGTTTGATCCTGATGGAGCTCAAGGTTGATTCAGCATTGCATCCTTCTGAGGTTGATAAAATGAGGATTCAGATTGTCGGGGGCAATATGCAAATAATGCTTTTATACTGTAAACTGCCCAGAGAAGGCTGTAAAGTGCTATGGGGCAGTATGTAAGCCTAAATGCTATTGCTATCTAAATTCACCTAAAATTGATAATGCTCAATTAAATTGTATAAAAGCAGAAAAGAAAAGTTCAAGTGGCATGAAAGAAACGAAGCCTCAGAAATAAAATATGCATTTTTAAATCAGTTTCTTTGAATGCCTAAGAAATTAAAACAAAATGAAGAACCCAGCTGTCTCAGATTCATAACAGCTATTGATCTAGTTACTAGTTTGGGCAAATTAATTTGTGTTTCAGTTATAATTAAAATAATAAGGACTGAAGTAGCATAATGTTTGTCAGATACTTCTGATTAGAAAATCCTGGATTTAGTATTCCCATAATAGAAAATGGATGCAGATGCAATAAACTATATTAAAGCAGACCTTTCTATCCCTTGTAAAAGTATAATTAGCCCTGCCTTAAGTATAAAGGACCATGTCCTTATTACAGTATAAATAAAAAATAAATTTGTTATGGAATTTGTGTAGGGATGTTGTGTATTATATTACTGTTCCAATGTTAGATTTTATTAAGCAGTTAAAACATGTTTATATTAATAAATTTTCAGCAAAATTACTGAGTCTTAGGAACAGTTTTAAGATTGCAAAATCAAGTGGCATTCTTAGAAAAGGAAATGGCATGATTATCAGACAATTCCCTGGACAAGAGCTTGCAGGTTTTTTTCCAAGATTTTGAAAGCAGTTTGCCATTGTCTTCTTCTTCCTAGCCTAAGAGAGTACTGGTCAAGGTGCGACTAGAATTCACAGTCTCCCAGTTTCTAGGCTAGTGCCTTAACTATTAAACCATATTCTGACACCGCCCTGAGTCCTTCGGGAGAGGGGCGATCTATCTATCTATCTATCTATCTATCTATCTATCTATCTATCTATCATCTATCTATCATCTATCTATCTATCTATCTATCTATCTATCTATCTATCTATCTATCTATCTATCTATCTATCTATCTATCTATCTGTGCTAGAGAGAAGTTCCCTGAGGATGGGCTCCAGCACAAATCCAGAAGCTCAGCAGACTAAACCTCTGGTCCTGGTGACCAACCCAGACTCGATCCTGCAACATTATTCTGGGACATTATCTTGGGAAGTCTATTTGCCTTCAGTCGCCTTAACCATTACACCAAACTGGCTCTTGCTATAGCTTAGGGCATCCTAACCCTAATCTGCTTCTTTACAAATGGAAACTGGAATGATAGAAAATATTTTGAAGTGGGACTGTCAGAAAGCTAGCTGTTCCACTTTTTGATAAATTATTATCTTGTGAATGATAGTAGCAGTCATTTTATGGCTAAGCCTCCCATTTTGAGTTAGCACACGAAAAATACAGGCTCAGTCAGGCTCAATTGCACTAAAGGATAGTGGAGGCTTACAAACAGAATGGAAGGAAGCTCCTCTCTGTTACTTGTTATTTCAAATAGCTTCTGTGAGAATTTTATGGGTTTCTGCAAGAGACTAAGGCAGGAAAATGTTCACTTGCATGCAGCCAACTTTCCATCATTCAAGCTTTGCTTTTTGATCAGGGATTTCAGGATTTCTTTTTTTTTTAACTAACAGGTTCGACAGCCTAAAAATTCCTGTGAATAGCACCCCAATTATTTCCAGTCTTCTCCATGAAGAAAAAGAAAAGATGCCACCACTTTAGGCAATTATTATTTAGACAAACGTGAAACAGAGGTATCTTTTTTTCAGTCTCACACAAAAGCTTGCAGCCTTCTTTAATGACAGATGTTGCATTAGGAAGCACTTTTAAATTACTTCTGCAGCACAGACAGCTCTGGTATTTATAGAAAGCTTCAAGATTCTCCTTGTTTCAAAGAAACCTCTGATTCAACTTTATCAGCTTTGTTATACACACTAAGAGCTATAAGATGCAATTGGTTGCTTTGGGGATTCTTTATGACTAGGGAGGGACTAACTTAACTGAGCAATTTTCAGTTCCTGCACTTGAAAAGAACAGAAAGTCCTAGTTATCCACCAGACTTAAAAAGGGTGGAAAGAGAAAGAGGAGTTTGTTATGACTTTGAAAGTGATACTTTACAAACCACTATTTTCTGTTGTTTTCACAATTTTTTCTTTGCCTGAAGCTGAAGCCTTAACACTTGGAGGCTTTTTTTCTTACAACATATATTTCAATACCATATAAAGATAACATCCTTTTTCTTGGTATTTGTATGCTAAAATAATTAATATCCTTAGCTTATAATCACGTATAACCTTATTCTAATGTTAAATGACCGCATCACTAAAAATGTCCTGTCTGTCCCTTTATTTGTGGGTGTGTTAAATTTTACACTTTCCTTGACCATTTTATCCCTATAAACTCAATCTTGGTTGCCACAATAGACTTTTTACAAAACAAAGTACATTCTGCTCTCCAGGAAATTGACCTTGATCTGTTTAAAAATACTCAGCAGAAAGAACTATTGTGGTCAATAACTTGAGAAAGCTTGAATAGTCAAACGTAAATGAAAATTCATCTGGATCGTTCATCTTTCATTATCATACTTACAAAAGAGATTTTATGGCAGATATAGTATTAGTAGCGTTGTTTTTTTAAAAAATACACTCCCACAATACCTGCAATGATATCATCCATTTGTTCTAGAGCAGCTTCAAGCATGTGACTAGCATCGGAAGTCATCTTTTGTGGTTTACTTGGATCTTGTTTTCTTGGTCTAAAAGGGGGAAAAAAAGAGGTAATGCTTAGTTACTTGTTTGTTTGATTTCTATAGCTT